GTGTCATGCCAATTGAGCTAGATGTTCCCCGAGACCATGGTCCCCAGAGCGCTCCGCCCAGAAGCTCAGTCCCTTGGGGAGTTTGGATGTGCAAGGAGACCTATTTTTGTTGGGCAGCTTCAGCTGCGGGTAGAAGTGAGACACCATGAGACATGCTTGATTAACATTAGATGATCATGCATCTGTTTCCTAAGGAAAGGTGGGTTTAGCCACCTGAGGGTTTTGTTTTACTGAGTGAACACTGGAATCTTGGGACAGAGTTAAATGACTGAGGCCAACAAAGGGGAACATGACAGGCAGAGTGAGGGAGGGGAGAAGAGAGAAGGGACCCTGTGATGGAGCTAAGGAGAGAGACTTGGGAGAGAGAACAGAAATATCTAATGGAGAAGTCTGATAAAGATATGTAGATGTGTCATGAGCATGTGGTCATCTCCTTTTCCCTTCCAATAAAGACTACATTATTCACCAATGCTTTTGGAACTTGGTTTGTTTTGGGGAGAGATGTGCTGACTCTGGCTTCCAGATAAGCTTAAATCAGTAGCCAAGGGAACTCTGTCTCATTCAGCTTATATTTACTGTCTGGTTCTCTAAGAAGTGCCTGTCTTAAAGCCTCAGTGCACATCATCTACTGCCACCTACAGGAAGCATATGCTAATTGCATAACAAGTATCTAAGTGTGGTGGGGGGTTGGGGGGTAGGAAGACGACCACTCACATGCTCATATTAAAAAAAAAACAGAAACCCATTGCCGTCGAGTCTATTTCAACTCATAGTGACCCTACAGAACAGAGGAGAACTGCCCCATAGGGTTTCTAAGGAACAGCTGGTGGATTTGAACTGCTGACCTTTTGATTAGCAGCTAAACTCTTACCCACTGTACCACCAGGGCTCCCATGCTTATGTAGCAAACCTAAATTTATAAGACATAGGACCAGTCCTAACTCTGCCACTCTCTACCTGTAAATTAATCTCTCAACCTTAGTTTCTCGTCTTCAAAATAAGGGGCTAAGTAAGTCATAGCTAAAATCTCCTCCATCTTCCAAATCTATAATTGTCACAAAAAAAGATTTTTAAGCAGAACTCTAATGAACGTGCCAAAGGTTCTTCTAAACTACAGCATTAACCTAGTTCTCATCTTGAGCTATTTTTAAAACATGTTAAAACATGGGCCAAAATACGTGTACATATTAAGTCTAATTTACCACTCATTGAAAATTTAATTCTAGTGTTTAAATAGTTAATTTTCCACTTAGGACATATAGTAAAACCAATGCCAGATGAGTGTTTGGTTTCACTGTGACCCTGTTAAAACAAAACAAAACAAAAAAAAAAGTGGACATACAAAACAAAACAGAAATAAGTTTAAGAAAAAGAAGTTTCTGAATCAACCATAATATGGATTGAAGATCTCTTTATTGCTAAAGCTGTCGAATGTGTTACTTTCTTTTCCTTTTATGAACCTCAAACAGTATCTATACTTTTAGCTGCCAAAATGTACCCAATTGTCATAGATTAACCACAGGGCGTATTTTGAAGGAGACTTACTCATACATTTCCAAATTGGTTAGCTTGTTTTCAGTCACGTAGTTGCTTGGGATTAAGCCTTCATTCCTACAACAAAAGACACAAAGCAAAAATCAAAATGCTTGGCACATTCCTGGCATTATCATGGCAACAATCCTTTTAAAACTCAAGGATGTAGAGGGAAATCAAATTCATTTTATTAATTAAAGTGTTAAAAGAAGAAAAAAAAGGTTTTCATTTCCATATTCAGCTAAAGTCTCTGTATGCTGATACTAAGATCCTGACTTATAATGTGAGTAGTTTAAGACGCTTTATGGCCCAAAATATTTTCAAAGTGGAAACCGAAAAAACCAGTTCCTTAGAGTCGATTCCAACTCACAGCGACCGTGTAGAACAGAGTAAAACAAGGAGCGGGTGGTGGATTCAAACTGTCAACTTTTTGTTTAGCAGCCAAGCTCTTAACCACTACCCTACCAGGGCTCCTCGAAGAGGAAAAGAGGTACTTAAATGATCATTGGGATGTAATAGTAACGGGTTTAAAAACACAGCCTATTACAAATACATTGACTTCATTCTTTTCAATAGCCGCAGAGTATTTCATAATATAGATGGTCCACAATTTGTTTAGCCATGCCCCTATTACAAAATATGCTGTAAAGAAACATTTTTACCAGTCGTAGTTGACTCAACTTGACTCAAGGAAACCCCGAAACATGGTTTTTAGTGCACCAGAATGAGTTTTTCTCTAAGGTAGACACCAAGCAGTGAAATTGCTGGGTCAGGGAATACATGCATCTTTCAGTTGACACAGCAGATTACACTCAAAGGAGGATATACCAATTTACATACCATTCAGAAGGGTAGGGTTTCTCTTTCCCTACATCCTCATCAACATTTGAAATTATGGAAAGATCACCAGCACACATTGTTGACAGATAGAAGCCAGGTACAGAAAAACGCATAAAGTATGACAGATTACTATTGTTCTTGAGGGCCTTCCTGTCAACTCTGACTCATAGAGACCCTATAGGTCAGAGTAGAACTGCCTCATAGGGTTTCCTAGGCTGTAATCTTTACAGGGGCAGAATGCCACATCTTTCTCCTGAAGAGTGGCTGGTGCGTTTGAACTGCCCCCCTTTTGGTTAGCAGCCGAGCACTTAACCATTGCACCACCAGGGCTTCTGGATAAAATACAGGTAGTCCCCAGCTTACAAAGTGTTCGAGTTACAACGAATCACACTTACAACCAGCCGTTTTTGTTTTGTTTTGTTTTTTGGTACATCTTATCGTTAGTAGTATGTACTATATACAGTGTTGCAGTGCGTAATTTGCTGATGTTATCACTCTCAGATGTTCACGCATAGATGTTCAAAGACGTGATTTATAAAGATACTGATAATAAAAGGCAATAATAATGAAAACTAAAAAAAAAAGGTAGTCTATTTAACATCAGAACCAACTTAGGATCTAGTTGTCAGAAGGGAACTCCATCATAAGTTGGGGACTACCCGTACTAAGTAAGTTAAATCTGCAAACAATATCACACATTTTAATATTTGTATGCAAGTGCATTGAAAATGATCTTGAAGGGTGCTCACTAAATGGATAATGGTACTTCTTTTGGAGAAGAGACTTGGGTTTGGAGACAGTGGCAAAGCAGCATTTGGGCTTTTCGTATAATGTTTGCATATTATAAAAAACTACATTCACTTATTAACTGTGAAATTAAAATTTAGTACAGCTTTTTTTTTTTTTTTTGAGTTCTGAGGATGCCAATACGGCACCTGCAGGAGTGGTGAACTGCACAGTACTGAATCTAGTAATGCCTCTTTTCCCATTGCAAAATCTCCGTCACACGTTCAGCCTAAACTCAATGTTTTTGTTATTGTTAGCCGCCTCAGGTGGGCCTCCGACTCATGACAACCATATGCACAATGAGATTAGACTGTTGTGCTCCATAGGGTTTTCACTGGCTGATTTTTTGGAAGTAGATAGCCAGGCCTTTCTTCCTAGTCCATCTTAGTCTGGAAGCTCTGCTGAAACCTGTTCAACACACCAGCCCCGACTGACAGACCAGAAGTGGCTGTGCTTGAGGTGCGTTGGCTGGGAATGAAACAGGTCTCAGGCACGAAAGGTGACAATTCTACCACTGAACCAGCACTGCCCTGAACAAACTAAATATTAAGGAGAACCAAATGACCAAAGAAATACAACTAAAGAAAGAGGCATGTAATTCAGATACTCCTACTTTATTTCAGATAAACAACAAACAACTTTTTAGTGTATGTCCTATGTACTATTTTTTTCTTTTTTCTCAATGTATATATGCATAGCCAGTTAGAAACAATTCAAACTTAACCGCATGTCCGGCATTGTTATTTGCTAAATTTGGCAAATCTAGCCTAACTGTATTACTATGACCAGTAAATACTGCTAGCAGCTAATCCCCAATACAATCACTTTCGGAAATATCAGAAATCAATCCCAGCCTTCTCTCCCACGGAGGCGGGACACTCCTCAGACTTCTGCCCATCCCAGGACTCCAGCCAGGCACTAATAATCTATCACAACCGACACGATGAAATCTAATTACATCTCAAAGTCTTTTTTTGTTTCCAGTTTAATCCAGCAACTACTTCAATGTTTGCCTCCAAAACTAGTTGTTGTAAAAATACAAAAACAAATAGGATACTGTCTCTGCTTTTACCTTAGATCTTAACAGGAGCAATCAGACAAACTCCCAGATAAAGAAAATACAAATCAGGCAAGAACCTAGATGATAGGAATTATTATTCCCATTTTATAAATAAAGCAACGAAAACTCAGGGAGGATAGTGGCTTGCCCAAGGACACACAATATTGAGTGACAGAGTCTGGATGTGAAGCCAGGTATACATGGCTCTGAGACTCTGTCAGAAATCACTGTGCTGTAACGCTCTCTCATACTGACGGTGGTGTTGGGGGACAGGTTCTATTTCATGCAGAGGAAAGCGCTATAAACCAGGAGAATGCGAGCCAATAAATAGTCCTCCTAATGCTTAGAAGTCTTCAGAGGATAAAAGAGCAGGAATTTGATAAGGACTAAACCGCTAGTCTTACCCAAAACGATCTCTTGCCTTCCACCAGTGAGGGGTATACTTCTCCAATACCAAGTATTCTTCTGTTCTCTTTAATGCTAAATCACAGGGTTCTCTGGGCAGAAAGTCATAAAGAGCCTTGACCTGGATCATCTCTTCAGCAACCTCAGGGATGGGGAGGGGAGGCAGCGGCTTACGTTTTGATGGCTTCACATGGCCCCTGTTGGACTGTAAAAACCAAGGAGTTGTTTTACTGTTACTTTAGTGATTTTTACTAAAAAATAATAGAGGTGTAGCACGTTTGCTGGTGACCTCACTTCTCCCCTCCAGCTGCACCAAGGAAGAAGCTAGGGTGGGATAAATGTAGGAAGTGAATAACTATAAAATGGCTTTTGGATCCAGCAACGCACTGTGGTGGTTAATTTTTTGTGTCAGTTGGCCAGGCTATGATTTCCAGTGGTTTGGCCAAATACTAGATTAGTTGTTGTTCCACCACGTAATCTAATGTACTGTAATCGATCAATCAGTTGAAAAGGAAGTTTCCTTAGGGTGTGTTCTACTCTCAGACTATAAACATGTATTTTGACAGAAGTCATTCTTGTTGTCTTCCTCTCCAGTCTGCACTCTTTCCGTCACCTGACCTAAGGATCTTGGGATGCATGCTTGGGACACACATCCATCATTTGTAAACTTTTGAGATCACATGTTCTCTTGCCAGAATTGCATTGGATCTTTTCATGTCACAATTCTTAAAAGGTGATTTACTCCTTTATAGTTTTGCTTTGTTTCAAGGATTTTTCTCTCTTGGAAGATAAAAAACTGCCCTTACCTTTCATCTGCTGTAAGCTTGTATTTGAGTTTACCACACTTCCTAAGAACACAATTTCTCCCAACACTGAGATGAAAACTAATGCTGACCTCAAACTGTTAGTAACCAGAATACATTTTTTCCCCACTCATTTCCAGTTTCAAGTTCTGCCTTTAAGTATAGCAGAGTAGGCTATGTTAAGAGGTTGGTTTTTTTTACTTTCACTTTCTTTTAGGACATTCCCTTATTAAATATTTATTGAGCACTTATTATGTGCCAAGCACATACTAGGTTCTAGACATAGCAGCAAACGTTTCCTCATGGAGTGTAGACCCTAAAAGACAGCCTTCCCCTGGCCCTTCTCCCCCATCAAAGTGATACTCACTTGCTTCTTAGTTGATGACTCGCAGGGCCATGGCCTGTGACGTGATGGGTATTTTTCTGAAAGTTCTTCATCTTCACTTAGACTTATTTGTGTTCTCACTTGTCTGACACTGAAAAGCAATCATGCCACAAGTGAATATTTGTATTAAGCTTATCTATAAATCTACTCGATTATCACAAAACTAGTAAAAAAAAAAAAAAAAATCCGGGTCTCTTTCTAGCTACATTTTCTTTTTTAAATGATTTTTATTGTGTTTCCAGTGAAGGTTTACACAGCAGTTTAGGTTCCCACTCAACAATTACTACACAAATTGTTCAATGACATTGGTTACATTCTTCACAATGTGTGGACATTCTCATTATTTCCATTCTGGCTGTTTTGTTTCCATTAATATAGTTTCCCTGCCCCCTTACATTCTCATTTTCATTTTAAAGTTAATTGTCGACCATTTGGTCCAACTACATTTTTATTTAGAAGGCTTCCTAACTCTGTCACTTTTGTCAAGTTGCCAGCTCTCAGAACTTCAGTTTCCCTATCTGGGAGCTAGAGGTGCTAAAAGTAAGTAAGGTTGTTACAAAGTAAAATCAAGAAAGCACATACCACATGCCTGGTACAGACTCTGGTACATATTGGGGGCATAAAATTATAATCATAATGATGAAAAACTTAGTTACTCTGTGTTAGGTGCCATGCTTATCATTTTACATGTGTCACTTCATTTAGGCACTTGGCTGCTAACTGCAAGTTTGGCGTTCGAACTCACCAGCTGCTCCAAGAGAGAAAGATGTGGCAGTTTGCTTCCATAAAGATTACAGCCTTGGAAACCCTATAGGGTAGTTCTACTTCGTCTTACAGGGTCACTATAAGTCAGAATTGACTCAGCGGCAGTGGGTTTGGTTTGGTTGGTTTATTGTGTGGTTCAGTGATAGAATTCGAGCCTTCCAGGTGAAAGACGTGGGTTCAATTCCCAGCCAATGCACCTCATGCAAAGCCACTACCCATCTGTCAGTGAAGGCTTCCATGTTGCTATGATGCTGAACAGGTTTCAGAGGAGCTTCCAGACTAAGACAAATTAGGAACACAGGCCTGACGATCTACTTCTGAGACTCAGCCAAGGAAAACATGGATCACAACGGTCCGAACTACAACCGATCATGAGGATGGCGCAGGACCGGACAGGTTTTTTTTCCCTTGTGTGTGGGGTCACCAAGAGTCCAGGGCCTACCCAGCTGGCTAACAACAACATTATTATAAGTAGATCTAGTATAGTGATTAAGAACAATGGAGCTTGAACTCCAGCGTCACGATTTCATAGTGTGGCTTTGGGTAAGGAATGTAACTTCTCTAGGCCTGTTTCATCTGTAAAATTGGGATTATAGAAAAATGATGGGCTGTTTTGAGAGTTACATGAGTTAGTAAACATAAACCTCTTAGCACAGTGTCTGACATATAGGATGCTACCATTCAATGTTAGCGGTTATTATCATCATGGTGTTTTGGATTTAATTCTTATATGATCATTGATTGGGCACCAAAGTGTAAGATACACTGATAGTTTTGGGGAGATATTCAGATGAATAAGACAGGATTCTTGCCCTTAAATTGTAAAAATAACGAGTGGAACACAGACATACAAACAGCATTCATGAAATAAACATTAACTAGGGAACCAAGCCACATGCTGTCAGAACACAACAGAAAGAGTAATTAATTCCAAGAACACCAAGGAAAGATTACAGAAAATCGGACTTTTGACCCATGCCTTTAAATGAACAGGAATTCAACAGGGAGAACAAGGGAGAAGGGTTTCCCAGGCAAAGGGAACAGCACATACAGAAAGGCGTAGAGACCCAATAGATAATAAAGAATTCTGAATAAAATCATTTCCAAGAAGTTGTGCCCAAAAGTAGACTTACCGCTTCTGCACTGAACAGCAACAGCAGCAGCAGAAAATCGACTGGATGGTGTTATCTGAAAAGCAGATCATTCTCAGCTGTTAGAAAGCCATTAGTCCATGACATTGGATAGATGAGGCTGGTAATGCTATTCCAAAAGAGGAAGTCTCTAAGAGCAGAGGTGTTAAGAATTATTATAAAGTATGTGCAAATTCTTGACCATGCCCTCCTTCACTAGTGGAAACCCAAAAAATGTCACTAAAGCAAACATAAGTTACTGGCAGCCCGGCCACTGTGGTTTCCCTTCTCAGGCCCTTCTCCCCAGGTCTGGTTTATGCATTTCCTCCTCTGTGAATGATAAATGACCACTGTATTCAACTTTACCTTGATCCGGGCTAATATCAGCTAGCAAATTGGCAAAAGAATATGATATCAAAAACAATGTATTCCTAGGAAATCTGTTAGTGGGGATTTTGAAGAAAGTCCATCACATTTCTTAAAACATTTTTTTAAAAGATATAAATTTTTGGCTCTTAGCTTTTCTGTGGCTTAAGTCCAAATATAAACAGAATATCTAAAGAAAGAAGTAACTAGTAAATGTGGATTATGCTTACACTTTTATTGTCTAGCTTATCCTTATTTAAGTTAAATGATTTGCCTTTTTTAATGCCATAAGTAAACTTTGAATTTCAAAGGGATGTTTTGTTTTTATAGGATCTGCATCTTGCTGTCAGCTCTCTCAAAAAATGAAAATGAAGTATTATGAAGGCGGCAGAGTATGGTAGAGGCCAGCATTGGCTTTGAGGTCAGACAGACCTGGGTTTGAATCCCCACTGTGTGATTGACTATATCTTGGATAATTCCATTTACTTCTCTAAGTCTTAGTTTTCCCATCTGTAAAAATGAGATAATAATACCTACTTCTTTCAGAAGTCTTATAAGACTGAGGTTAATCTCTATGACTTTGGGCAAGATACGTTCTGTGCTTCAGTTTTCTCATCCATAAAATGGGAATAATAGGATACTTACCATGTAAGGTTGTTGTGAGGATTAATTGAATCAATTTATGTTGGCCATTGTCCATAAGTCAAGGTAGATAGATATCTTAGACCATCTCTTTCCTTAATGAAGTGAACAAACTAACATACTTCCTGAAGTCTGGAAGAATTTCATTACAACACTATCTTTCAGGCTACCTCTGAATGGGGCTATGGCATAATAGCTGTTTATTTCCTAGAGCCACTATGATACCAATCACTCTATCAGTCAGGGTCCCAATAGGTAACATGATATAACAAATGGGAATAATTTTAAAAGGATTTATTTACAAAGGGACAAAATACAAAGGTGTGGATGGGATGTAAGGGAACCATAAGAGACGTGTAGGAATCTGGGACTAGCAGTAGTAGGACTGTCTCCACCACTGAGAGACTCGAGAAGAACAGAGACCACTTTGAGAGGAGCAATGAGAGGCACAGCTCTCATTGTTTCATCATGTTAAGTTGAGGTATCTACTAGACATCCTAAGGAGCCCTAGTTATGCAATGTTTAAAGTGCTTTGTTGCTAACTGAAAGGTCAGTGGTTTGAGCCCACCAGCCGCTCTGCAGGAAAAAGATGTGGTCATCTGCTTCCATAAAGATTGTTGTTGTTGCTGTTAGGTGCCGTGGAGTCCATTCCGACTCACAGTGACCCTAGGTACAACAAAATGAAACACTGCCAGGGCCTGTGCCATCCTCACAATTATGTTTGAGTCCATTGTTGCAGCCACTGTGTCAATCCATCTTGTCGAAGATCTTCCTCTTTTACGCTGATCCTCTACTTTACCAAGCATGATATCCTTCTCCAGGGAATGGTCCCTCCGGATAACATGTCCAGAGATTACGGCCTTGGAAACCCTATGGAGCAGTTCTGCTCTGTCCTATAAAGCAACCTCACTACAGCTTCCTCTGAAACTCTCCATGGGCTTAAACCAACCAGAAGCCAGAAAGTTTGAGAGCATGTTGAGCTAATCCCTATAGATTATCTTTCCAGGATTGAATGCAGGTGGAGATTACTGTGTCATCTTAGAGGTGGGATATCACATTCAATCCCTACAGTTCATCCTTCCAAGGCAGAGGAGGGTAGAGAAGAGTAAAGAGTTGGTCTGATGGGGTGAATGGAAGTTACCCAGCACAGTAACAGATATGTATTAGTTTCTTTCCTTTCACAAAAGTTGATCTTCCAAACCTCTATTCATACATTAGGTACTTGCCCTTCTCTGATAGGGACATTGCCATTGCTCAGTCTTTGGATCGCAGACACATTGGTGGTCCAATGATAAAACTTTCATCTGTGCTGGAGATACAGTTCTAGTCAAAGCACAGGAAAAGGGCTCTCTTTTGTTCCCACTGCTGTTTTACTGCTCACCCCTGATTTATTAACTTTCTCTCTCCTTTTGCCTGTACCCCCAAACCGCCCATTCTCCAAGGCCCAGCCCAAAGTTTATTTCTGGAGACAAAAATAAAATAAATTACTGATTCCCAACAATCTACACTACATCATATACTACTCAGTTGTAGGATTTCACCGCTTCTGACTGTCAGCTTTGATCTGGTGGCGTCTGCATGAGCAGATGGCCAAAAATACTCCTTGGAGAGAGGGTACATTAGCACTTGAGGGCTCTGTCTACTTTGGTGGGAGTGGGTCTAATTTACGTTCTTAGCAGTTTAGTCCAATGTTGCTTTAGACACCCATGCACATCTGTATTTATCTAGGCCAGGGGAAGCAAAGTCAAATACAAGTTACGTAAATTAGTGAAGTGGGTCAGAATAAGGTATAGATTGTGGCAAAATCCTGTACCCAACCCTTACTTACAAGTATTTAAATTAAAAAAATTTTAAATATTCTGTTTCTTATGTCATCATTTTTTCCCCTCTCTATGGGTTATTCCCATCAGTATACAAATTATGCTGTTACTTCACCGACTGAAAACAAAACAAAGCAAAACAAATTACTCTGGATCTTACTTCCTCCATCAGCTTTGCTCTCCTTTCTGGTCAAATCTGCCAGTTGAGTTGTATTTATTTCGTTGCTGTTGTTAGTTGCCATGGAGTCGATTCCAACTCACGGCAACTCATATGAGCAGAGTAGAACTTCTCCATAGGGTTTGCAAGGCTGTGATCTTTTGGAAGCCGATTGCCAGACCTGTCTTCCAAGGCGTCTCTGGGTGAGTTCCAATCATCAACCTTTTGCCTTGTAGTCAAGCAGTTAACCATTTGTGTCAACCAGGGACTCCCATTCTCTCTTAACGAATTACGATCAGACTTTCATCCTTACCGCTTTCTGAAAATTGCTCTTGTCAGGCTCACCAGTGACTCCTGCACCACTAAATCCAATGGTTGATTCTAAGTCCTCATCTTACTTGACTCTCAGCAGCATTTGGCACTATGTCCCCTTGGTTTTCTTTCTACCATGGTGGTTGCTTCTTCTCAGTCTCCTTTGCTGCTTCTTCCTCTTCCTCCCTGACCTCTTAATGTTAGACTTCCTAGGGATTTGGGTCTCTTCTTTTCTCTGTCTCACTCATTCCCATGATTATCTCATTCCTTCCTGTGGCTTAAAAAAACATCTATATGCTGATGACTCCCAAATATACCCCTCTAGCTCAGTTCTAATGAACTACAGACTCACATACCCAAATGCATTCTTAAATTCACCACTTGGATTCTAGTGGATTAAAAAAAAACAAAAACAAAAAAAAACAAACCCATTGCTGTTGAGTCAGTTTCTACTCATAGCAACTCTATAGGACAGAGCAGAACTACTCCATAGGGTTTCCAAGGCCGTAATCTCTGGACATGTTATCCGGAGGGACCAGTCCCTGGAGAAGGATATCATGCTTGGTAAAGTAGAGGATCAGCATAAAAGAGGAAGATCTTCGACGAGATGGATTGACACAGTGGCTGCAACAATGGACTCTAACATAATTGTGAGGATGGCACAGGCCCTGGCAGTGTTTCATTTTGTTGTACACAGGGTCACTGTGAGTCGGAATGGACTCCACGGCACCTAACAGCAACAACAACAATCTCTATGGAAGCAGATGACCACATCTTTTTCCTGCAGAGCGGCTGGTGGGCTCAAACCACTGACCTTTCAGTTAGCAACAAAGCACTTTAAACATTGCATAACTAGGGCTCCTTAGGATGTCTAGTAGATACCTCAACTTAACATGATGAAACCCGAGCTCTTTTTCTTCCTACCTCTCCAAACGCTCTACACACCCATTCCCATTTCGTCAATGGCAAATTCCATCTTTCCAGTTGCTCAGGCCAATAACCGGAGTCCTCATTGATTCCTCCCTTTTTCTCATACCATCATCCAATCTGTCAGGAAAGAACGCTGACTCTGACTTTAAAGTATAGATAGTCCCCAACTTATGATGTATTAGAGTTACAAGGAACCGCATCTGCCACCATCAGTTTGTTTTTGTATATGTTATCATTATTAATATGTACTACATACAATGTTGCAGCACGTAATTTGCTGATATTATCATTCTCAGATGTTCACTTGCAGATGTTCAGTTTTACTATTTACTGTTCAAAACACTGCTGTATAGATTCAGTTTTCTAAACTAAACCAAGGGCTTCCGTTGCTTAAACACATGGACCAAAACACGAATCACTTTGCTAAAGTTGATAGGCAGATTTGGAAAACAGTGAGATGTTACAATGCAATATATGAAGAAAAAAAGAAAAGGACCATACAGACAACTGTCATTAATTTTCTGCCCAGAAACGCCATCCCCATTCCCAGAGATAATCCAGATGATCCAGAAACTTCCACAAGTAGAGTTATTACCACAACTGACAAAACGTCAATGTAATCCAATTCTTCTTCATCACTGGAGTAAATTTTTATGATTTGTGTATTTTTTTATGTATGTATGTACTAAAATATATCTGTAAGTTTATATATAATGTTTCTAACCCCCAAACAAATAAATATAAAATTTATAAAGAAACTGATTAAAAAAGGCAATAATAATGAAAACTAAAAAAAAGTGAAGTATTCAACTTACATCAGAAGTGACTTACAGGTCATATCCCTGATTCAATGTAAAGGGAGTTTCCCTGGGATGTGGCCTGCACCACATTTTATCTAATAAGAGATAAAGGAAAGGGAAGCGAGCAGAGAGTGGGGGAACCTCTGACCACCAAGAAAGCAATGCTCAGAGCAGAGTGTGTCCTTTGGACCCAGGGTTCCTGCTTGAAGAAGCTCCCAGTCCAGGGGAAGATTGATGACAAGAACCTTCCTCCAGGGCCCACAGAGAAAGAAAGCCTTCCCCTGGAGCAGATAGCTTGAATTTGGACTTGTAGTCTACTAGACTGTGAGAGAATAAATTTCTCTTTGTTAAAGCCATCCACTTGTGGTATTTCTGTTAAAGCAGCACTAGATAACTAAGACATCTGGGAAATCCGGAACTTGATAGGACTGCTTTGTTTTTCCAGGTCTCATAAGTTTTCCGCCTTTGACAGGGTGCAGTCTTACCACTTTTCTTTCACTCCTTTTAGTGGAAAATATTTGTGTTTTCCTTCTCTGACAGGTTTCTGCATTACACATGTTCTGGGTTTTGCAGGTTTATTGTATATCCAGAATTATACTGCTTTTCCCCACCTCTTCTTTACTAACCTGGTCCAAGCCACGTCATCTTATCTGGATTACAGCAATAGCCTCCTAGCTTCTACCCTTGCCCACCTACAGTTTATTCTCAGCACAGCAGGCAGAGTAATTGTTTTAAAATATTTTATTGTGGTTTGGGTGAAAGTTTACAGAGCATATTAGTTTCCCATTCAACAATGTATACGCATTTTGATTCATGACATTAGTTGTAATCCTTTCAATGTTGACAGCACTCCACCCACTTCCTTCCTGGGTTCCCCATTTCCATTAGCCCATTTTTCCTGCTCCTTCCTGTCTTCTGAACTTTGTTTTTGGGCAAATGCTGCCCTTTTGTTTTCATGTCATTGATTGTTCTGAGGAGCAGTTCCTCACGGGTGTTACTCTTCATTTTCTAAGCCTGTCTATTGTTTGGCAGAGTAATAAATTTAAAGCTTAAGCCAGATCATGCTACTCGTCTCAAAACTCCACAGTGGCTCCACATTTCACTCAGAGCTAAAGCCAAATTTCTTATAAGTGCCTGTAAAATCCTCTGTGATCTGGCCTTCTGTTTACCTCTCATCTTCCCTCCAATTCTCTCTCCTTTGCTCACTCTGCTCCAGCCACACTGCCTCCTTGCTGCTCTCACCTTGCTTTGGTTTTGCAGCACTCTTCCCCCAGGTGTCTGGATGATTAACCCCCTCCGATTCTTCAACTCTTTGCTCAGATCTCACCTTCTCAGTGACGAGGAGTACTCTAACCAATTATTATTGCCACCTGCACGCCCTTACTTTGGGATTCCTAACTTTCCTCTACTTTTTTCTCTTTTGATAGCATTTCTATCTACTTCCTAACATACTATGCAATTTATTTATTTATCTTTTTTTTTTTTTACTGTCTCCCCTGCTAGAATGTAAGCAGGGATCTTTGTTTTTTTCACAGTTAAATCTCAAGAGGCCATGCCTCACACCATACACAAAAACCAATTCAAAATAGATCAAGGACCTAAATGTGAAAACAAAAACCATAAAATTCTTAGAAGAAGATATAGGGGCATGGCTATGGGACTCAGTTTTTAATGATGAATTATCAGATATGACAACAAAAGCACAAGCAGCAAAAGACAAAATAGATAAATAAAACCAAAAACCAAACCCGTTGCCGTCGAGTCAATTCCAACTCACAGCGACCCTATAGGACAGAGTAGAACTGCCCCATAGAGTTTCCAAGGAGTGCCTGGTGGATTTGAACTGCTGACCTTTTGGTTGGTAGCCATAGCACTTAACCACTACACCATTAGGGTTTCCAAATAGATAAATAGAATCTCATACAAATTAAATACTTTTGTTCATCAAAGGACTTTTTGTCAACAAAGTGAAAAGACAATTTATAGATTGGTAGAAAAATTTTTTTAGGAACCATATTTTGATAAGGGTCCAATATCCAAAATGTTTTTTAAAAATAACTTCTACACCTTAACAACAAAAAGACAAACAACTCAATTAAAAAATGGGCAAACAACTTGAACAGACATTTCACCAAAAAGGATATTCAAATAGCCAACAAACAAATGAAAAGATGATCAGTGTCATTGGTCATTAAGGAGATGCAAATCAAAACCACTATGAGATACCACCTCACCCCCATTAGGATGGCAATGATCAAAAAAATGGAAAAAAACAGGTGTTGGTGAGGTTGTTGACAAACTGTAACCATTCTCCATTGCTGATGGAAAACAGCTTGGCAGTTCCTCGAAAAGCTGAACATAGAACTAACCTATGACCTAGCAATCCCAGTCCTAGGTATATACGCAGAAGAAGTGAAGGCAGGAATGCAAAGAGAAATCTATACACCAGTGTTCCTTGTAGCACTTTTCACAATAGCTAAAATGTGGAAACAACCAAAATGTCCATCAAAGATGAATGGATAAACAAAATGTGGTATATACATACAATGGAATATTACTCAGCCATAAAGAGAAATGAAGTCCTGATGCATGCCACAACATGGATGAACCTTGAAAACATTATGCTGGGAGAAATAAGTCAGGCACAAAAGAACAAATACTGTATGATATCACTTATATGAAATAAGCAAATATATAGAAACTGAAAATTATTAGTGTTTACAAGGGGAGCGGGAGGGGGGAAAGGGGGAGTTTTTGCTTAGGGGGCATTGAGTTTATGTTAATGGTGGTGTAACAATTTGGGAAAGGATAGTAATAACGGTTGCACAACATGAAGAATGTAATCAATGTCACTGAATTATACATGTAGAAATTGAATCAGCAAATGTTTTATTGTGTATATTTTCACCACAATTTTAAAAACAATCTTAGGAGGTTAGAACAGTTTGACATATAATATGCGCTAACAAATAAAAAGACTCCCAACTACACGTGGTATTGTCTTAGTTTCTTAGCGCTGCTATAACAGAAATGTCACAAGTGGGTGGTTTTAATGAATATAAATTTATTTTCTCACAATTTAGGAAGCTAGAAGTCGGAATTCAGGGCACTGGCTTTAGGGGAAGACGTTCTTTCTCTGACGGCTCTGGGGAGAGGTCCTTGTCTCTTTTCAGCATCTATTCCTTGGCACTCTTCATGTGGCATCTATCTTCCTCCATCTATGCTTCTTTCTCTCTGTGTATAGCCTGCTCTTTTCATATCTCAAAAGTGATTGGCTTAATACACATCCTAATTGATATGGTCTCATTAGCATAACAAAGCAAACCCCATTCCAAATGGCTTATTCACAAGTGCAAGTAGTCCCTGATTTACAATGTGTTTGAGTTATGACAAACCGCACTTACAACCATCTGCTTTTTTTTTTTTTGGTACATCTTATTGTCAGTAACATGCACTACATACAATATTGCAGCACATAATTTGCTGATGTTATTCTCAGATGTTCACTCGTAGATGTTCAAAGATCAGATTTATAAAGATACTGATAATAAAGGGCAATAATAATGAAAACTGAAAAAAAAAGAAAGGGTATCCAACTTATGGTAGAACCTACTTACGATGGCGTCATAGGAACGGAACCCCATCATAAACTGGGGACTACTGTCTGTTGTTGTTGTGTGCTGTTGAGTCAATTCTGACTCATAGCGATCCTATAGGATAGAGTAGAACTATCTCATAGGGTATCCTAGGCTGTAATCTTTACAGGAGACCTGGTCAACAGTTGGAACCCACCAGCCTCTCTGCAGGAGAAAGATATGGCAGTCTGCTTCTGTAAAGCTGTCCACCCAGAGGTACCTCAGAAGACCGGCCTGGTAATCTGCTTCCGTAAAAAATCAACCACTGAAAATCTATAGAACATAATTCTTCTCTGACACACATGGGGTCACCATGAGTCAGGGTCAACTCGACAGTAACTGGTACTGCTGTTGGTTAGATGATCTTTGAGTTTCTTTGTATAGGCTTCTTCTCTCACAGGGCTTCTCGAAATTAGCACTTACTGATATTTTGGACTAAATAATTCTTCGTTGTGGGGGCCTTCCTGTGTATTGAAGGATGTTTAGCAGCATCGCAGGCCTTTACCCACTAGATGCCAGTAGCAGCCATCACCCTCACCCTTGCCAGTTGTAAAAACCAAAAATGTTTCCAGGCATTGCAAAAATTCCCTGGGAATAACATCTCCCCGAGTTGAGAACCACTGGGCTAGATTGTAAGCTCTTCATTTTCAGGGACTGTGACTTGTTCTTTTTTATTTTCTTCATAGCATCCAGCATTGGTGCCTGGCACATAGCAAAAATTCAACAAATAGCTCTTAAATAAGACCTCACTAATCTCCTCACCATCACATTACACTGGGTTGTACTTTTCAGTAACTTGTTCTTTCACGTGGTGTTTCATAACTCGATGCTGGCCACACAGAAAGCTAAGTTGACCATGACCTTTTAACTAGGTGGAATAGCAAAGTTCAAGAATGCTGAGCTTCTGGGGCTTTAGCTAACATTTGCAGTAGGTCATAAGTCTAATCTTTTGTTCCAAGTTTATTAAAAAGAAATAATCATAAAATAAAAGCTTATCTGAAGTGAAGAGTCAAACCATGAGATGCTAAATGAAATGGTTAAAAACTCTGGTGTTCAAACGTTTTTGTTTGTTTGTTTTGGTTATGGGGCTGAGCAGACTTTAGTGGCAGACAAACCTGGAAACAAATCATTGCTCCATTATCTTGTAGCAACAACATGATTCTGAGCAATTACTCTGGCACTTTATCTGGAAAATGTAGGCATTAAAGCCTGTCTCCTAGAAAAGGCAGGTCCCCATCTCTACCAACATAGCGCTTACCATACACCAGGCACTGTACTAAGATCTTTATATATGTTATCACTGAGGTAGTTCCTATTATTATCCCCAATTTACAGAATAAGAAACTGAGAAATAGAGAGGTTCAGTAATTTGTCCAAAGTCTCATAAAGAAAAAGCAGCTGAGCCAGAATTCAAACCCACAGAATTTGGCTTAGAGCCCATGAGCATACAATGAGACCATTCTTGTGGATTAGAAAACAAAATAAGAAAGCTGAGGCAAAGCACCTGGAACATAGCAGTTACTGACCTTTTCCCTCACTGAGTTCCCTGTCACTCCTTTGGGTAAACAGATGGAAACAGATATGGTTCTCCCTCTGAAGACAAAATGGGGGACGAAGGCAAAGTAATGGAAAGCTGATCTTCAGCCCCCAGCTCCTCTGTTCTGAGCCCAGTCTCTACTCTGGCCTCAAAGGCAGACGTTCCCACTAGAGTCTATTCTGTGCTCTGGTGGGCTCTCTCACCTGCTATCAAGACACCAGCTCTCAGGAGGGGCTCTGAAACTCGTTCTAGGTAAGGTATAAACAACTGCTGTAACAATAAACATGTTGTACTGCAGTCCTTCTTGCAGAGGCATTTACAAGTTTGACACCTTAAATGACACCTTAAACTTACATACATAGAACTTTGAAGGTGGTATCAGTAGCAGGCAGGAATGAGATCTAGGGACTAGGAAAAGGCCTGCCCCAAATCACCAAACTCACAACCATACATGGCCACATACCTGGCACATTTAAGCAGAGTGGATTATAAAGCCATTGACTTTCATCTTGGGTACTTTTGCTCCCTTCTGTAGACTAGAATTTAGGAGGACGCTTTTAAAAAATATCTGTTGTTTTCCTGATTTAATAGCAAAGACAGATGCCTTCAGATATAAAGTACAGACCTATCCTTTAATTATGATGAGGTTTTGTTCTATCTCTCCTGAAGAGCAGCAACAGAGATGCTGACATCTGCCTTATTTACTGACGCATCCCTTCTGCCCAGCACCAGTTAAACCAGTTGCTATAAAGTCCACTTGGACTCTTGGCAACCCCATGTGTGTCAGAGTAGAACTGTGCTCCATAGGGTTTTCAATGGCTGATTTTTTGGAAGTGGATTGCCAGGCCTTTCTTCCAAGGCACCTCTGAGTGGACTCCAACCTCTAACCTCTCCGTCTGCAGCTGAGCAGCTACCGTTTGCACCACCCAGGGACACAGTTGCTAGCAAATAGTTGGTGACCAGTAAATGATTGTTGAGTGAATAAAAGAAAAACTGTGAAAGCCGAACGGCTCCCTGGAGTTCTCGTGTTTGGCATGGCTCTGTAAGGCACTTCGCCTCTTTATCTATAGAGTATTGGAACAAAATTTATTCCAAAGCAGATATTAAGGATTATTAGATTCCAGGTCATTTTCAGTTTACTGTATCACAGGTGTTCCAGGTCAGTGAGTAAATGGAGGGCTCACTTCCACACATAAACTGTGATTAGAGAAGAAATTCTTTGAATCCTTCTGCAGAAAAAACAAATTTGCTTCTTTGAAAAATTATCAATTTAGGCAGATACTCATGCATATCAAGAGCCTTTGCCAGAGAGACTAAAATGCCCCCAAGATGGGCAATGACTGTTTGCCTGCGGAAGGAAACGTGGTGATCTTCAGTGCTGAGAGACATCACAGGAAGAAACCGGAGTTTCCTCTCCCAGGCTTAAATCTGCGCTGCTGGGCTCATCTGCTTCTTATCTCCAGGTAAATATCTTTAACTATTTGCCATGTGCCTGCAAATCATGAAAAGGGCATTGCATCCAGACGTAATCTCTGTGATCTTTAGGAAATGGCCCGTTGAACCTCTAATTTTATTTGACATTTGTGTTCTTTCCTGGGAAGGCTCTGTCCCCTTCTCTCTACCCAGTAAGGTCCCTATTAGCATTCCTTCAACCTGCAGAGGCTTGTGGATGCTACAGCAGGCCTCTGTTTGGGAATGTGTTTCCACCAGGGGGCATTGGAAGGGAACAAATGTGAGGAGAAGCAAGAGGCACTTCTCCGAACAGTTCCTAAAGTCGCCTTTCAGGATAGCAAGTAAAAGCAGATGAGAAGCTGTCGAGCCCCAGCCGTCTGCGGAGCGAAAGCGTGTCGCGCCCTCCACTTCTAGAGTTTTGAGGTTTACATCGCTGTAATCTCCTGTTCATCCTCTGGCTTTCCGAGGTCAGAGTTTCGTTTTGACAGTGCCTTAAGTGAAATTTACTCCTACTGAATTGGGTCATAATAACTGGCAGCTGGTTGGTGATTTTTATTTCAAAACACGAATAGCTAGTTCCGTTTCCAGAGCTGCCTGGAGAGCAAAGGCAGGCTTGTCTCCCAATCAGACGCTCCAGGTTGTGTTTTTACAAGACGCAATCTCTGGGTCCTGTCGGCATTGCATTTGCAGCTGAAGGGCTGTGATGAGCGGGAAAAGTCTTGAAAACAAACCTGTGGCTCTCAAAAAAAAAATCCCTCTGAGCTGATCCTGTTGTTGGCTATAAGATAGAACCTATTTTTTTCCCCAGAAATTTACAGAAAGGCCAAATTTCCTCATTAAAAAAGAAAAAAAGCAAAACAAAAAAACCAAATAGTTGCTATCCAGTCGATTCTGACTCATGACGACCCCACGTGTCACGGAGTAGGAACTGCACCACAGCGTTTTCTGGGCTGTAATCTTTAGGCGAGGAGCCCTTGTGGTGCAGTAGTTAAAGGGCTCAGCTATTAACTGAAAGGTTGAACACACCTGCAGCTCTGCGGTAGAAAGATGTGGCAGTCTGCTTCTGTAAAGATTATAGCCTTGGAAACCCTGTGAGCCAGTTCTACTCTGTCCTATAGGGTTGCTGAGCTGGAATTGACTTGACAGCAGTGGGGTTTTTTGGTTTTTTTTTTTAATCTTTAGGGAAGCAGATCACCAGGCTTTTCCTCCCAAGTGCCTGTGGATAGGTTCAAACCATCAACCTTTTAGGTCAGTACCCTGCCATAAAGTCCTACCACTAGATCCATTTCTTAAAGGCCTTTTGAAGACAGGCACATTTTAATTGAGTTAACCCATATTACCTGGAAGGAGCAACACATTAGCTAGCTTTTCTTCAGCATAGATTTCTCCCTCCAATTGGGCATTAAAAAAGGGTTTGCAAACATCAAACCAAGAACCCACACTAATGAGGGAAAAAAAGAGAAAGATAAGGTGATATATTGAGTTTTTCATAAAAAATTATTATTCATTTTAGAAAACTATCCTTTATTCTGAGTTTATGCCCTTCACATATCGGGATGTTAAATGATCCTTTTTATGTGTGTGTTTTTCTCCTTCTGATATTAAAATATCCATTCTTCTAAGAACTGATAACTAGATGTTAGACTTTTCAATGCAGTGGACAAAGTAAGTTAGCAACCCTATGTGAGACCCCAAAACTGTCTTTTGACATTATACTAGGACAGTAAACTGATAAATTTGGGTGGAAGATGAGTAAGAATGGTGCTTTACTTAACTAGGGGCTGAAGGGCATCATGTGTGGGGAATGGGTGAGAAGACTCTAGAAGCCTGGGAAGTTGGATAGGGCACTGGAATCCAGGGGAGACAGTGTTCCTGGGAGCCAGAGGGTCCCGAAAGGGAAGGCATGACTCCCTAAGTACTGCTCATCTGTTTCACAGCTTCAGCCAGAACAAAGCCCCAGGCACCACACAAATTCCCAGTACCCTGAAGCCCTGGTTTGCTCTATGCAGGCATTTTTTATTTCATCCCATTAATGAGCTGCTGCGACCTAGACTTTGCATTCATCTTGCACACAACTTCTCCCCTCCCCCAGAGCTCAGAGCAGTGTTTCCTAGAACACTGCTCCCTGTGATCTCAAAGTTCATTGCAAGCTCACAGATTTCACACCAAAGACATGTGGCCACGGACACCCAGCTTGTGATTCAAAGAAATGCTTGGCCGCAAGATCTGCTGGTGCCACTGGCACTGTGCTGGAAGCTGTGCTGCTGACCCAGTGGACTGGGAGTGGACAGATGATGCTGGGCAGGGGGGGCCTCTGCAGGGAAGCCAAAGCAGAATCTGCAGATCAGCACACTGGAAGACATGGATGCCTCAGGAGGCAGCTACAAATAGTAGCTGCAGTTATGATTATTATTACAGGCTCTAGCCAATTGCAGGTGGGAACAATGAAATGACTTAAAAACAGAAGATGCATACACCACTATTCATCTTGAGTACATTTTCAAGAAAGGAGACCAACTCCAGCCTGAGGTGAAATGGTAGTCTAAGGCCAAGTTTGTTTTTAGTTCATGGCACTCCCAGCTTCTCCACTAAATTAGTTATCTATTGTTGCATAACAAATTATTTCCAAACTTAGCACCTTAAAACATTTATTATCTCACATTTTTTGGGGTCTGGAGTCCAGGCACAGCTCAGCTGGGTGCCTCTGGCTCAAAGTCTCTCATGAAGCAGTGAAGCGGGGCTGGAATCATCTCTAGGCTCGAATGGGGATGGAGAACCCACTTCTAAGCTCACTCCTGTGGCTGCTGGCAGGCCTAGATGCCTTGGTTCCTCATCATGTGGGCCTCTCCATAGGCTGCCTGAGCGTCCTTGTCATCTCAACATGGCAACTGGTGGTCCAAGATAAAGAGTGCAGCAGACGGAAGCCACTGTCTTTTTGTAACCTAACCTCACAGGTGACCTTCCATCACTTTTGCCATATTCCAGTTGTGGGAAGTGAGTTACTAGTCTCAGTTCACACTCAAGGAAAGCAACTGCACAAGGGCATGAATACCAGAAGGTGGGGTCATTGGGAACCATCTTAGAGGCTGTCAACCATGGCTACCCTCCTTACCTTCATGTTAATAGTAATAGTAATAGTAGAAGATATTAACCTTGCAGGGTTGGTGTGGAAATGAAATACAATGAGGAATAAGATAGGGCTTTGGAAGTGGAGAGGCCTTAGAAAGGCAGTGTGGTCAAAGGGTTCCTTTTATTTTTTAACTTTATCTTTTGTTGTTGTTATTGAGAATATACACAGCAGAACATGTGCCCAATTCCACAATTTCCACATGTACAATTCAGTGATACTGATTACATTCTTCAAGTTGTGCAACCATTCTCACCTTCCTTTTCTTAATTGTTCCTCCCTGGTTAACATAAACTCACTGCCCCCTAAGCTTCCTATCTAATCTTTCGAGTTGCTGTTGTCAATTTGATCCCACATAGCTAGTTCTTAAGAGAGCACAGTGTCCAAGACAGACATTCTTTACCAATTAAACGAAACTATTGTTTGGTTTTAAGACTTCAGGGGTATCTTTGTTTTAAGGTTTAAAGATTACCCCAGGGCAATAGTTTCAGGGGTTCATCCAGCCTCCATGGCTCCAGAAAGTCTGCAGTCCAGGAGCATTTGAAATTCTGTTCTACATTTTCTTCCTTTTGATGAGGATCTTCTGTAGAATCTCAAAGAGTTATGCATTAATTCTTAATGCAGAATTTGGTACCTCATCCCAGATCAAAATTATGGTGATGGGCCCAGAAATCTGCATTTTAATCTGTTTCCCACGCTAATCTGCCTCACAGGAGCCCTGGTGGCGCAGTGGTTAAGACCTTAGCTGCTAACCAAAAGGTCAGTGGTTTGAACCTAACAGCTGCTCCGTGGGAGAAAGATGTGACAATCTGCTTCTGTTAAGATTACAGCCTTGGAAATACCATGGGGTAGTTCTACCATGTCCTATAGCGTTGTTATGAGTTGGAATCGACTTGATGGATTTAATTTGCTTCACACATACTAAAACTTAAGAACCACCCATGTAACTATTGTTATTTTTTTCCTTCTACTTTACAAACTGGAAGAGAAGAAGATGAAGAAATTAGGTGAAAATGGTGGTAGAGAGAAGATAAAAGGTGAGAGGTGAACTTTTCTAATAGGCAGGCTGCCCTCCCTGGGCTCTGTCCTCTAAATTTCTCCCCCGGGCTCGGTATGTTCTCAGGACATTTGTTAGTTGGTGAAAACAATGGCAATAATAATAATTGTGTATCACAAATAAACCTCATTGGAGCAGTGCCCTTATGGCCCCCTCAGACTCTCTCTACCACCCAGCTTGATAAATATTCCACCTTCCACAATTACCCCCTCCTGCCCTAGAGCAGGAATCCCTGGGTGACACAAACAATCAACGTGCTTCACTGTGTGTTGGGGGTTTGAGTCCACCCAGAGGCACCTCAGAAAAAAGGCCTGGTGGTCTACTTCTAAAAAATCAGCCATTGAAAACCCTATGGAGCACAATTCTCTTCTGACATATGGAGTTGCCATGAGTTTATGGCAACTTGACAACAACTGGTAGTAGTTTACCCTACAGCAGCCTATGAGCCCAGACTTCTACTGGCAGGGCAGGTGGAGGAAACAGTGGATATTGCAGAGTTATTGCAAGGAGTCCATGAATCTATAGGTTCTCTGCAGATATAAAAATATGTCTTACATAGATGTTTTGCTATTTTTCAAGTGTATACATATTCTCTTGTGACAAGTAAGTTATAAATTCATTTAAAAAATAACCCTGGATTCATAGTCTCATCTTGCCATCTTTTAAAACAACAAATGTGTTTGGTAAATGACTCTAGCCTGGCAAACACGTTTAAATTTTGTTTTCTTTTGTTTTTTTTTTTTTTTTTGCAGTAACACCTCCTTGGTAGCATTTTTTGGCTTTCTCCTTGTCAGCAATTCTCATTATTTTACCCAGAAGAAAATGGAGCCGTATCCAGCAGCAGGAGATGGCAGAAGAAAACAGGTGATTCTTACTATCAAATCAAATTATCAGAAGCTGGAAGGGGCAGAGAGATTCCATCTAAGTCATCACCTTCCCTGCCAGATAGAATGATCCTCAAAATCACCCACCAATGGATAGTCTTTTATTTAACCCCTTAGGCATTCTAATCCTTATCTCAACCCTCACAATTATTTATTTTACATATAGCCAAATCCTTCCCATTATAATTTACAACCTTCACTGTAGTTCTGACCTCAGGGGAAATGAAGAACAGATGCTCACATAGCTTTTAATATTTAAAGGCTAATAGTGAGCCATTGCTCTGCTTTGTCCTGCCATTGGGGAAGGTAAGGAACACAGGTTACTGCTTTTAGCTTTTTCTCCTTTCCTCTGCTTGTTTTTATCTATGACTGGATCAAAACTGTAAGTTATTTCCAGATCAGCACAACTGGAATAGTCTGGTTCATTTTTTAAAATAATTCTACCAACAAGTGTTAGGTGATCTGGCTTAGATAGATGACATTTAAAAATTACGATAAATTTTTCCCAATTCCACCTGAAAATTAGAAATGCAAGACTTAACTTTGTTAGCTGGCCTTTGGTTGCTTTGGTCTGACATGACAGAACTTTGCTGAAGCTTGGGTCCATACTTACCCAGAATTAAAATCAGAAGACAGTATTTCCCTTCCCTATTTTTGTATTATTTGCACAATAAGGCACTTACTGCTGAATCTTAGAGCAAAATTAAATAAGCATTTCCAAATGCACATGGGACTGAATAGCCTTCTAAAGTACTTTAAAAATTAAGTTCATGCAGCATCTGTGATTTTTAACTATGGTTTCTTATGACATCTGATTAAGAGGTGTGCAAAGGGAATCCCCATTTTATGAAACTTACCAAACCGACTGTATTAGTTATCTAGTGCTGCTATAACAGAAATACCAAAAGCAGATGGCTTTAACAAACAGAAATTTATTTTCTCACCGTTTAGGAGGCTAGAAGTCCAAATTCAGAGCGCCAGATCGAGGGGAAGGCTTTCTGTGTCAGCTCTAGAGGAAGGTCATTGTCTCTTCAGCTTCTGCTTCCTGGTTCCTGGTTCCTTAGAGATCTCCATGTAGCTTGGCATCTATCCTCTCCCATCTCTGCTTCCTTGCTTGCTTGTTTAATCTCTTTATATCTCAAAAGAGAGTGACTCAAGATATACCCTACACTAATCCTGTTCATTAACATAACAAACACAATCCATTCCCAAATGGGATTTATAACCACAGGCATAGAGGTTAGGATTTACAACAGATACTTGGGGGACACAATTCAATCCATAATATTCCATACTTTGGCCCCCCAAAATTCATGTCCTTGCCACATGCAAAATATATTCACTCCATCACATCATCCCAAAATTCATAAACCAACTCCAAGTCCAAAATCTCGTCTTCTGAATCATCTAAATCAAATATGGGTGAGACTTTAGGTGTATTCCATCCTGGGGCAAAATTCGTCTTCATATGTGAACCTGTGAAATCTAGACTACAGGTCATCTGTTTCCAAAGTACAATGGTGGAACAGGCACAGGGTAAACATTTCCATTACAAATGGGAGAAATTGGAGGGAAAAAAGGGATAATGGGCACCTAGCAAGTCCAAAACCCAGCACAACAATTTACATTCTCTCAAGGCTTGAAAATAATCCTCTGTTCTTTGGGACCATCTGGACAATGGCCCTGCCCTCCAGACTCTGGATGTTGGCTATGCCCTCTGGATTCTCGGTGGAGGCCCCTCAGCCCGGGGCTTCAGCTCTGCCTTCCAGGCCCCTGGAACAGTAACTTAGCTCCCTGGTGCCATTCTCCTAGTCCATCTGAGTGGCAACCCCACCCCCTCTGCCCTGGTAGGCCCCATTCTTCTGCCCCTTGGACATGGCAGACCCACCCTCTCAGCTTTAGCCTGTGGCCCCATCCCCCTAGCACACCTTAATCGCAGCCCCACATTCCAGAACCTAGTAGGCAAAGATCTGACTCTTTGAAACCTAGGAGGCTGTGGTCCCACCCTTTGAGATCCAGGAGACCATGGCCCCACCCTTTGAAATCATGAAGGCCCTGCTTCCCATGCTCCTTCCAACAGTTCTGCTGATCTCCAAGCTGTCCCAGGGATGGTCCTTTTCTTTTCTTAGAGGACAAAATATGTAGTTCCTTTAGCCCGTTTCCTGCCTGTAGAATTCCAAGGGGGCAGACAGCGTACTTTCCTTTCGTTCTTTCCCTGTTACCTTCAGTCTAAGCTGATGAGTCTTCTGCTGTGGTAGTGGATCAGATCCATCAGTCACAGGCTTAATCTCTTTAACAAAAGATTGTGTAACCACATCCTTGGTGAAAATACTAGGACATATGTCTTTAGTTTGTACAACAGAATTTTTCAAATCTTTAAGTTCTGTTTTTATTTTGCCCAGTTTATTTTTAAGTCCATCTCTTTCCTCTCACATTTTATTATAAGTGGCAAGGAGAAACTATGCAGCCCCTTTAAGATCTTGCTTATATGTCCTCAGCCAAATATCCAAGTTCATCACTTACAAGTTCTACCTTCCACCAAACATTTGAACATAATTCAGACAAGTTCTTTGCCACTGCATAAAAAGCATTGCCCTTCCTCCATTGTCCAATCATATGTTCATCATTTCCTTTTAAAGCCTCACCAGAAACACATTTAACGTCTACATTTCTAGCAACTTTCTACTGCTGGCACCATATGTATTCTCTAAGACTATAGAGACTTTCTCTATGGCTCTCCTCATTTCCTTCTGAACCCTCACCAGAATTGCCTTTGACGTCCATAATTCTACCAACAGTCTCTTCAAGGCAATCTAGGCTTTTACTATTAAACCAAAAAACCAAACCCACTGTTGTCAATCTGATTCTGATTCATAGCGACCCTATAGAACAGAGTAGAACTGCCCCATTGGGTTTCCAAGTCTGTAATTTTTTTTTTTTATTGTTGTGCTTTAAGTGAAAGTTTACAATTCAAGTTAGTCTCTCATACAAAAATTTATACATACATTGTTACGTGACTCTACTTGCTCTCCCTATACTGTGACAGCACACTCCTCCTTTCCACCCTGGATTTCCTATGTCCATTCAACCAGCTCCTGACCCTCTCTGCCTTCTCATCTTGCCTCTGGACAGGAGCTGCCAGTTTAGTCTCATGTATCTACTTGAGCTAAGAAGCACACTCTTCACGAGTATCATTTTATGTTCCATAGTTAAGTCTAATCTTTGTCTGAAGAGTTGGCCTCAGGAATGGTTTTAGTTTTGGGCCAACAGAGAGTCCAGGGGCCATGTCTTCCAGGGTCCCTTCAGTCTCAATCAAACCATTAAGTCTGGTCTTTTTACTAGAATTTGAGTTCTGCACCCCACTTTTCTCCTGCTCTATCAGGGACTCTCTGTTGTGTTCCCTGTCAGGGCAGTCATTGGTGGTAGCCAGGCACCATCTAGTTCTTCTCGTCTCAGGCTGATGAAGTCTCTGGTTTATGTGGCTTTTTCTGTCTCTTGGGTTAATACTTTCCTTATGTCTTTGGTGTTATTCATTCTTCTTTGCTCCAGGTGGGCTGGGACCAATTGATGCATCTTAGATGGCCGCTTGCTAGCTTTTAAGACCCCAGATGCCACTCACCAAAGTGGGATGCAGAACATTTTCTTAATAAATTTTGTTACGCCAATTGACCTAGATGTCCCGTCAAGGCTGTAAATCTTTACAGAAGCAGAATGTCACATCTTTCTCCTGCAGAAAGGCTGGTAGGTTCTAATCGCCAACCTTACGCACCTTAAAACTCTTCCAGCCTATATCATTACCCAATTCCAAAACCACTTCCCCATTGTAGGTATTTGTTAGAGCAGCACCCCCACTTCTCAGTACCAAATCTTGTCTTAGTTATCTAGTGCTGCTATAACAGAAGTACCATAACTGGATGGCTTTAACAAACAGAAATTTATTTTTTCACAGTTTAGGAGACTAGAAGTCCAAAATCAGGGCACCAGCTCCAGGGGAAGGCTTTTACTATCTCTGTCAGCTCTGGAGGAAGGTCCTTGTCTCTTCAGCTTGTTTTTTGGTTCCTTGGAGATCTCCATGTAGCTTGACATCAATTTTCCCCAATCTCTGCTCTTATTTAACCTTTTTTATATCTCTAAAGAGATTGACTCAAGACACATCCTACACTAATCCTGCCTCATTAACATAACAAGACAATTTGTTCCCAAATGAGATTATAACCACAGCGAAGAGGTTAAGGTTTACAACATGTGCTTTTGGGGGACACAATTCAATCCGTAACAGTGGCTCACTGAGTCTATAGCAAATCTAGAATGATAGTTTGGTCTCCTGGCCTTCAGCCTTGAGTTCTTTACACTAAATATCATTAAAAAACAAATACTTTTCAAACTGACTGCATTTCTACACACGCATATAGATTTATGGACCCTGGTTTGTTTTGTGTTCTCAATGCTGAACATTTACTAAAAAGGAATTGTACTACCACAAATAGTTTTCAAAATAACAAGCAAATAAAACCCTATCACAACATCTGGGGAAATGATCTTCAAACTTTCACCAGTCCCATGCCTTAGAAAAAACTTCTTCTGGTCCAGTGTTCGAGAGTAATTAACATACCAGCTGAAAATAAATGACAAACCCCATCTTACTTACAGGTGGAAAGAATCATGGCTGCACTCTGCAGGGAGTACAGGAGACAGCCCTCAGTTCTTCAGCGGAGCTCAAGTCACAAAAACACACACACATCTTTGAAGTGAAATCATAGCTCGCCCAAGACGTTTCTCACAGGCAAAGTTAACCCCACCTATTTTCCTGTTCTAAAAACCTCAAGAGCAGTGGGTGATTGACAACCTAATGGCCTATATAAGAAAGCTCAAGAATCTGCATCTACATCTCTGAGGAGGTTGCTATGTAGATCCTCTTCCCAAATAACCCGGAGTGACTCCAAGAACCATTTGTCGGAAATCGTAAAATTTTAGGGTGAAAAGGACCTTCAAATTCAGCAAATCAAACTGTCCTCTCTCAACAGAAGAGGAAATGGAGGCATAGATAGGTTAAGGGACTTGCCGAAGGCCACACAGTTAGTGGTAGAAGCAGAATTAGATTTCAAGTTTTGTAGTACGAAGTCTAGAATATTTTGCCCTCTTGTTTGTACTGACACTTCTGGGACCTTATTATAGAACTTTATTATGAATGGAGAAAAAGTCAATCTAATAATACATCTAAAAGGTGATTGGGGCATGGCCAAAAATACAAAAACATTAACAATAAAAAACCCACTTGGAAGTTTCACTTCATCCCATTGGAAAATGCAACTGAAAAGGAGCAGCTTTAATAAAGACACAGAATATTGACATTGCCCTTCCTATTTACTGCCTTATAAACTAAGATCTATGTAGCATTCTGGGTGGATCCTTCTATTTTTGCTTCACCTTTTACCTTAGCTATGCTTTCACATAGGTGCCTGGGTGGCACAAGTGGTTTGTGATTGCCTCCTAACCTAAACGTTGGTGGTTCGAACCTACCCAGTGATACCACAGAGGAAAGGCCTGGTGATCTGCTTCTGTCAAGATTATAGCCAAGAAAACCCTATGGAGCAGGTCTGCTCTGTAACACATGGGGTCTACATATAAAAACTTTTTTTTAAAGTTTTAGTGAAATATTTAAAGATTTTTGAAGAAAGTATTTATAAATGTTGCCAGGTAATATCTGGGAACAGCGAAAGTTGTTAGGGCAAGGACTATACTTTCTCTTTCACTATCTTGAACACCACCTAGCAAGTACTTAACACATCTCCTTAAGGTGAAAAGGAAAAAATGAGATGGGGAGTAGGAATACTACTACTACTACTACTAACAATGATAATAAAAAATAAGGAAGGAACTAGAAAAGTATGACATTGATATCCAGGTACACCTTGCTGATGACAAGCTTCTTGAATGAGCTGTAGTTCAGTTAAAAGGTGTGTATGTTTTTGTGATGGGGTATAGTTAAACAGGACGATGAGGAGGAATGTGGCAATGAGATTATGGCCAAGACTTTGGGTAAATATGTTGTTTTCTTTCCACTATAACGGGCACAAAGGAGCAAGGAGCACAGCCTTCAGCAGATGGGCTGCCTGGTACACACACTCCAGACTGGAAAGGATGGAAAGAGGTGGTCTTCCAGCACAGTGAAGGCACTGCTCAGAGCAGCCAACTACAGCTTTCATATGCACATAATGCTCCACAGCATGGAAGAGACCATGGCAGTACCTAGAGGGGCCAAGAATTCATTCTAAAGGAAGGTCCAGTATCTTCTTTGGCTTCCTACTTCATAATACCGAGAATAGTGTGTTGGATAATAAACAGTCTTTGCTTTTGATGATGGGCTATGTGTCTCTGGGGCCCATGAGAAAAAACAAAGGCTCTAACTCAGTTAGTGTCTTAGTTAGAAACTGTAAGGGTCAGAAACCCAGTCAAGCAAACTCAATAGCAGGGTCTACTGTGAGGCTATCATAGACAATCTTGTGGATCTAAGAACCGAAGTCCAGCCAGGTCTCCTAAAAAGCAACTGGGAGGCTGCTCAGTACACTGTTCTATTTTGCTTGGTAGCTGCCTAGACTGTTCTCTGCTTCTCATGAGCATCTACTCCATATACCTCTATGACCATCAGCCTCCTCTGTATAATCACAGTTTATGCTCTATCACAACTGGAGCTTGCTCCTGGGTCTTGCTTGTGGTGGGGCAGTCTTTGTTGAAAGCTTCACCTGATCCTTCAGCTCCAGAGTCCAGCACTTCTAACAGCAGCATCTGTGCCCTGGCACCAATTCTTGAGAGTTAGAATCTGATTGACTTCCCCTAGTTCAATTTTATACTCCATTCCAATTAGCTGTGGACAATATGAGCAGGATGATTTAGTCCAAACATGTACACTGTTGAGGGCTTAAACTGAACCAGTTCTAGTTGCTGTCAAGTTGATTCAGACTCATGATAACCTTTGGTGTGTCAGAGTAGAACTGTGCTCCAGAGTAGAAACCCAGAGTAAAACAAGGGTTTTCAATGGCTGATTTTTCAAAAGTAGATCACCAGGCCTTTCTTCCAAAGAGCCTGTGGACTCAAATCTCCAACATTTCAGTTACCGGCTGAATGCATTAACTGTTTGCACCAGCCAGGAAAAGAAACAGCTGCCATTGAGTTGATTCCAATTCATAGTGACCCCATGTGTATCAGAGTAGAGCTGTGCTCCATAGGGTTTTCAATGGCTGAGTTTTTGGAAGTAAATCACCAGGTTTTCTTCCAAGGTGCCTCTGGGTGCACCTGAACCTCCAACTTCTTGGTTAGCAGCCAAGTGCATTGACCATTTGTACTACCAAGGGACTCCCTTAAAGTGGACAGGCATCCCCAAACACATCCACCAGAGTAAGGCAGGGGTATTAACGACAGAGGGATCCAGACTTCTTTCTCTTAGTAGGGAATATTTGATCCCCAGAGGAAAAGGATTGACAGTGGTAAGGCACAGTCCTAAGAATATATTACAGCTGATATATTACAGAATGAAAGTTTCAATTAAAAGACAGCTCTTGTTTCTTATAAATATATAACTTTATATATTACATATATTTACAATAGATACAACGTACACATATTTTTCAGTGTAATACTAACAGCAGTCTTGAAAACAGAGATGTTTTCAAAACAAAACATCAGTACTTATCTGAGGTGGACTCCTGATTCATCTGGAACCCACATTCTAGACAATGCCCTGGGCCCGGATTTCTGCAGAAGTCAAACGGAGGACAGGGGTTGCTGGAACATGGCTCTAATACCCTTCCCCTTCCCAAACACCCTGGCCTCCCACTGGCACCAGCCAACATGACCCCATGTACAGACCACTGTGGGCAAGCCCTGGAGCCTAGGCATAGTACCTGGCACATAATGGGCACTCAAGTGCCTGTGGAATGAATAAAAGTGAGTACTTTTAATCACCATCTCTCAGGCAGCATTTTCATAATCTGGAAGATTCTGTCTCAGTCTTAGAGGTAAAGCTGGTCTGGAAGCAAATGCTTTAGGTGTTTCCATTTTATAAGTAAAACAATCCTCACGTTCACGTGCTGAATAAAGTGCCATTTCTTCCTCATGCTTTCGAATCTGGGAGCCACTGGTCACAACACCACTTTATCTTCCAAAAGATTCTTCACACTCAACTAGCTCGTCTATTGTGCGCAGCAAATCTTCAAAGGAAGGCCTTCCCTCTGGTTTCTGCAATTGAAAATCAAAGAGAAGCTGTGGGTTCCAGAATCTATTCCAAAATTTTCTCATTGTTCAAATTTACATAGCATGCTACAGTGAAGCACTCATTGCTTTGGGACTGGGTGATGCAAATAGGTAAGTGCTGGGTTACTAACCAAAAGGTTGGCTGTTCGAATCCACTCAGAGATGCCTGGAAAGAAAGGCCTGGCAATCTGCTTCTGAAACGTCACAGCCTTGAAAACCCTAGAGGCTGACATCTTCTTAAAACCAAACAATAGTTTAGCTTAACTAGTAAAAAATGTCTTCCTTGGGCTCTTTTAAGATCTTCTATATGAGATAAAATTGACAACAGCAACTCAAAAGATTAGACGGGAATTTTGGGGGGCAGTGAGTTTCTGTTAACAGGGGAGGAACAACTCAGGAAAGGAGGGTGAGGATGGTTGGTTACACAACTCGAAGAATGTAATCAATGTCACTGAACTGTACATGTAAAAACTGTTGAGTTGGTGTATGTATGTTTTGCTGTGTATATTCTCAACAACAACAACAAAATAAATAAAATTAAAAAAAAAAAACAAAAACCCTATGGAGGGTGGAGCCCTAGTGGCGCAGTGGTTAAGAGCTTGGCTGCTAACCAAAAGGTTGGCAGTTCGAATCCACCAGACACTCCTTGGAAACCCTATGGGGCAGCTCTCCTCTGTCCTATAGGGTCACTATGAGTTGGAATTGACTCGACAGCAGCAGATTTGGTATGGAGGGCAGTCCTACTCTGCAACACGTGAGGTGGCCATGAGTCAGAAGTGACTCGGCTGGTTTGGTTTGTTTGGTAAGGAGCTTTATTCAGTTGTTGAGCAGGGATGTGACAGCAGTGTTTTAGGAAGGGTAGTTCAGCAGTACTACATGCAGGATGGATTTGGGTAGAGACAGACCCATTTGGAGACACTTGGCATGTTCCAGTCCCAAAGCAATGAGTGCTTCGCTGCAGCATGCTGCTTGAGTTTAAACAATGAGAAAATTTTGGAATGAATAAAGCTCCTTATTGCCTGCCAAATCAAACCCTGCTCATTTGTAGTACCCTTCCCCCACTTCCTACTTGACCAATTTCATTTCCCCAAAAATCTTCACATGGGCCTTCTGCTTTCTATCAGACCAAGTTCCACTCTCGTGTACACATGCCATGTTTATTCCTGTCTCCTCATCTTTGCTGACACTACTCTGTCTCCCCCAACATTACCTCCTGTCCACGACTGCCCATCCCAGTGTTCTTGGGGGGCATTACAGCAAGTCACTGAGAGTATGGGCTTTGGAGTCAGAGAGGCCTCTGCTGCTCTGTAGCTCAGCGGCCTTGCGTAAGTGTTAACTTCATGAGCCTGGGTCTTTTCATCTACAGAGTGGTAATAGTGAAAGTACCTACACCTCAAGGGGTTATTTTGAGAATTAAATAATAAATGTAAAGCATATAGTACAATTGAGCTAATATTATTGTCTTTCAAAAGTCATTTTGATCTCTAGTATCTTCTATGAGGTGACATTTCAATACATGGGGAAGGAAAACTTCCAAAGGCTGTAAGAAAAGGGACTTAGGGAAGTTGGGGTCTAGAGAAAAAAAAAACCTTCTCAGGTGAAAGAGTGGAATATCAACCCAATAGGAGATCCAGTGAAAGGAGAACTACTTCTCCAGGCTTATTCCCCAAGTCCCCAAAATTGGGCAAATGTGGCAAGTTTCCCACTTGGGAGTGGGGTGACAAGCTGTATTTACTGAATTAATTACTAGTATTTTCCACTTCTTCACATTCTTCTTCCTGTTATGCAGAACAGAGTTGATAGGATTGGCTTCCTACCCAGAGTTTGAAACCACTATGAAACATGCACCCACTCAGCAGGCTGTAAAAACTGTACATTATCCATCTCCCAAGCCCAGATCCCTAAATGTTTTAGAGACTCAAAATGAATGCACACACAAAAAAATATTTATACCTCCTGCCAACACCTCAGCATCACCTCATATATGTATTTGGATGCCAACTTAGGCTGGTAGAGTCGGTGGCCACGAGTAACCATGGTTACCACTTCATAGTTGGTGTTTTTTTCAAAGGGCATTCTGCCTTCAGTGAATACTTCCCACATTAAAACACCTGAAAAAGGATAAGGGTTAGCCAATGGAATATCCACTCCTTCAGAGCAGTCTTGAGGAAGCACAGACAATGGGACATACCAAATGACCAAACATCCGACTTGCTGCTGAAGCGACTGTAATTAAACACTTCGGGCGGACACCACTTCACAGGAAATTTAGCACCAGAAGAGCTTGTGTACTGATCATCCAGAACATACCTAGAGTGAGACATACCATGGGGTTACACCTTCTGAGGCACCATCTGCATTTTGTACATGTTCTTTAATTTTTTTTTCTCCCTTACAATCAAAAATACAGTTGACTGGCGAAAGTCCAACAAGCATCCGGTTGAAGCTAAATGTTTACCTCTGTGGCCACATTTGGTGATTTCCATCTTCCTCTCAGCTTTATTTATGTGCATGAGAAGGATACATTTTAACATTAGTATCTGTGCTTTCATTTTTCTTTTTATCTTTTTTTTTTTAATAAAGCAATAGAGGCAGAATGCAATAAAAGTTTGCAAACTTTTTTTACAAGCCGAAATGTGTTCTTTAAAACAAAATTTCACCCCAAAGTTCAATACGTAAAACATCTAAAGCAGAGCTGCTCTACAGGAACTGGCATAGACGGTCTAGAGACACTGTGCCCCCTCAATTCCACAGAGCACAATCTGAAAACTACAGCATGTGAAAAAAGCAAATTGCAAAGTAATGTATATAAATGGTAGAGTATACATTTATATACTATGGCATCATCCCCCTCCACACACACACTCACACACTTAAAATAATACTATATATTTTTTCTATGTGAACAAAGAACATACAATACACATAAACTGGTACCAGTGGTTACTTCTGGGGAGAATCCTTGATTAGGGGTGATGGATCTAGGACTATAGTATTTTCAGTATGTATTTACAAGAGGGATATATTTATGTAGTATATGTTCATTTAAGGTTAATTTCTAATAGCTGCCCAAAAACATTCAAATAATTGCACAAGCTTCCTCCACTGTACAGACAAAGATGGTGACTCAGAACAGAAGGAAGCTGCTGGTTGGCAGGCAGTACCACCATGAGCTGGATCAAATTGTTTGTCAGTCAGGGGAGTCTGAATTTAGTGTATGAAAGGTGTTTTAGAGGGGCTGATGCAAAAGCATAGATTGCTCAAAGCCAAACGTATGAAAATCGAACATATGAAAGTCAAGGACTGCCTTGACTCAGGGATAGAACATCTTTATACAAAGCCAATAAAGAGCCAACCAGTTGCCACTGAGTTAACTCCAACTTATGGCAACCTCATGTGTGCCAGAGTAGAACTGTGCTCCATAGTATTTTCAATGGCTGATTGCTTTGAAGTAGATGTCAGGCCTTTCTTCCAAGGTGCCTCTGGGTGGATCTGAACCTCCAACCTTTCGATTAGCAGCCAAGCATGTGAACTACTTTTACCACCCAGGGACTCCAATAAATAGAGAGCACAGGGTAATATAATGCCCTGAGAATCAGAAGTTCTAGAGCTTTCTAACCTCCCTTGGCCTGAGTTTCCTTAGTAGCTAAATTTGGCCCTATAAGACCTTGCCCTTGCCTACCTTTCCAACTCATCTCACACCTTGCTCCTCTCAGGCTGGCGACGAGCAAGCCACTCTGGCCTTCTTTTGGTTCCTTGAGCAGGCCAAACTGTCCCAGACTTCAAGCTTTTGCACTTTTTATTCCTTCCACCTGGAATATTTTATCCCCAGATTTTCACTTAACTGGCTACTTCCTGCCTTTTGGTCTCCATTCAAATATCTCCATCTCAAAGAGGCCATTCTTGCCCTATACCAATCACTCAGTGTCCACCTCCACAAGTTACTGCTATTACAGGGGTCAGCCAACTTTTTCTGTAAAGGGTGAGACAATAAATATTTTAGGCTCTGTGGGCCACATAGTCTCTGTCACAACTACTCAGCTCTGCCGCTGTAGCATGAAAGCAGCCAGACAACACATAAATGAATGAGATTGTGTTCCAATAAGACTTTATTTATGGACACTGACACTTGAATTTCAAATAATTTTCACGTGCCATAAAATATTCTTCTTTTAATTTTTCCCCCCAACCATTTAAAAATGTAAAAAACATTCTTGGCTCACAGACAGTACAAAAAGAGGGGGCGGGCCAGATTTGGCCCATAGAACCCTGCTCTATGACATCATCCTGCTCCCGCCACCCCCAGCAGGTATCACTATCAGGTTAAAAAAACGTGTTCTCAGGTCTTAAGCTTCTTCCTCCTCCTGAATGTAAGCTGCATGTTGGCAGGGACTCATAGGTCTTGTTGTCTGCTATGATCCAGCCTAACATTGTGCCTGGCACATAGAAAGCATTTAATTACTTATGGATGGGTAGATGGATAGATATGTGCATGGGTGAATGGACAGAGGGAGAAGGGAAGGAGGTAAACAAGGACAAACCAAATACTTTTTAAAGGTATCCCCCCCCCCGACTCTATTAAAATTACAAAAATTAGGAGAATGAAAACATGCAGATGTGGATATACGAAGAATTTTACCCCCAAACACACTTCTGTGAAAACAAAAGATTCCACAACCAGGAGGAAAGGGAGAAAGTAGTGTATGTAACAGGTTATACTACCACCTAGTGGAAAGGATTATTAACATCACAATGTATACTCGATTTTAATGAATTTATTTAAATGAGAACAGTTAACAAGATTTCTTTTGTTTGGGTAAGCGTTTGATCAGTGCAGATTATTCTCACACTTATTAATTCTACAACATAATGTGAAAATCACCTAAAACTACAGAATGAAGCATTAGCAATAATAATTTCTCAACAGTTGATCTGAGAAAAAGCTAAAGTTAACAGTAAAATGAATAAATTCAGCAAAGAACTTTCAAAATATTGATAATCTAATTTATTTTAATACTTTGTATCAAAAGCACACTATGAAGCAGAAAAGCAATTGGTTCCCCTATACGAAAAACGACAGCTACTACTACTATTTTGCTAATGGAACAAAAGATGTAGTTTCAAAATAGCTCTTAAATAGGCATTAGAGGAAGTTGATACAAACTGCAAAGAAAAAGTCAAGCTTTGTGTACTTTCAAGGGAAAAGTCAGAGTCTCATATCAATTTTATCCAAAATGTATAGAGAATGTTCACACATACTGAGTCATACCTGGCCATTCCAAAATCAGATACTTTCACAATGCCTGCTTCATTTACTAGACAATTTCTGGCAGCCTGGAACATAATGTTATAATTGTATATTAGTTATAAAGTTGCACAAAAAAATAGAAATATGTAACATATCTGTTCAGATTCAATTTAGTGCAATCCAGTCAACATTTGCAGAGTGTGGAAATGTCATCCTTATAAACTGTTTTGCCCTCTATGGAACTGTTTCCAGTGTTCATTTGAAAGAATGGGTAGAAAGACAGGTAAGAAAACCATAGTTGTGATAAAGCATTATTATATATATTTACAACCATCATACCTATACAAGTTCTATAGAAATGTCAATCCAATTTTTCCTCCCAGTCCTAATCTTATTAATTTTCTTATTGGTAATGATGACATCTCTTGAAGTCCTTAATCCAGGTTCTCACTAGGCAAGGTTAACAGCACACAACCATCAAGGTAATGGGTGACCAATCTTTTACCCAATGGCTTTGCTGAGTGATTGGCCATCTCAATCCCAAAGAGTCAAAAGAACAGTGACATGGGAAACAGAGTTTGATTTGCCATTTATGATGTCTTCAGTGTATTATAACATAATATACTAAATTGGTCAAATACAATTCTGGATTATTTGATTTATATATTTCTTGCACATTTCTTAAAGCTGCAGGGCTCAAGAAAATAGTCTGGTAAAAAGACAAGGTATTCTCAGAAGGAAGATGTGATAGTTTTAATACCATAACCCATGGGTTAAGATGTATTTTACTTCCTGATGGCTCAGAATTTTATTTTCTTTATGTGGCAATTCCACTTACATGAGGTTCCTTCCTGCTGAATGCATTTTAAGAATCTCTCCTAAAGTGAGAGTTAATGTTCATTCCCTGGATTGACTCCATCAATTGCCCTACAATGTCTTCACTTGATGGTCAACAGGATGCTTCACCAGTGTTAAAAGACAGGAGCATTAGAATCAACCCCTTTAGAAATAGACTAAATGTGTCCCTTAAATTTGCACACCCCGACATTGTGATTATATGTATGAATCCTTACAGGAAAGATAAGGTCCCTTGAAGAAGATGACTTCGTAAAAACAATATGAATAGTACTGTTTCATATTTTCAAAGGGATTTTTGAGACTCAAAATTGGCTCTGGAACAGGTGGCCTATAAACAGATCCGTGTAGTAAAACAAAAACGTGGTGCTGGTGGTGATGATAATTTCATCAGAAGCAGTCAATGAAGCTTGACGTTTGGGCCAGAAATAGTTTCCCTCACATCAGCTGAAGGCCCTTCCTCATGTCCCTCACCTCCTTCCTACACAAATGACTCCTGAATTTCCACCTCCTCCGCCTCGCCACCCCGTTAATACTCAGAAGATGCTGCTGTAGTTACGGCCGGGATACAGTCTCTGAAATAACACACAGTGCTCCAGAGTCATAATCATTCTGTGTGCCTCTGGAAAGCAACATAAGTCATCATCGCCAAAGCTATTTTCCCTATGTCCATATGTTTTGGGTTGAACTTCTTTCTACAGAAAATCTGAAAATGTACTTTGAGTGAACCAAGTAGCCGCAGGTGATACAGCAACACCTGCCACCACTCTGCAAGCTTCAGCAATCATGAAGTAAATGACAAATTCACCGCTAGGATATGGCATGGGAGGTTTGGAGCCTGTGGGGTTGAAAAAGGCCTGATTTTGAATACTAATCCTCTCACTAACTAGTACTGTAACCTTGAAGAAGTTGTTTAATCAGCCTGAGTTTTAATCTCTTCACCTGTAAAATGGTGTTATATGGATTGAATTGTGTCCCCTCACAAAAGATATGCTGAACTCCTAACCCCTATACCTGTGAATGTGACCCTGTTGGAAAAAAGGTCTTTGAAGACGTTATTGGTTACTTTAACATCAGGTCATACAAGAGCAAAACAAAAAAACCAAACCAGTTGCCACTGAGTTGATTCCGACTCATAGTGACCCTATAGGACAGAGTAGAACTGCCCCATCGGGTTTCCGAGGAGCAGCTGGTGGATTCAAATGGCCAACCTTTTAGTTAGCAGCTGAGATCTTAACCACTAATAGGGAGGGTCCTAATCCTATATGACTCTTGTCCTTATAAAAGAGGAGAAGATACACAGAGACAGAGAAATGAGGGCCATGTGAAGATACATCTACAAGCCAAGGAATGCCAAGGATCTCTGGCCTTGACAAGAAGCTAGGAGAGAAACAAGGAACAGATTCTCCCGCAGAGCCCTCAGAAGGAATCAACATGCCCGACCCCTGATTTCGGACTCCTAGTTTCCAGAATAGAGCCCTGGTGGCACAGTGGTTAAGAGACTGGCTGCTAACCGAAAGGTTGGCAGTTCAAATCCACTAGCCGCTCCTTGGAAACCCTGTCTAATCTGTCCTATAGGGTTGCTATGAGTTGGAATCGACTTGATGGCAGTGGGTTTTCAGTTTTTAGTTTCCAGAACTGTAAGACAATGAATTTATGTTCTTAGAAACCACTCAGTTTGTGGAATTTTGTTATGGCAGTCCTAGGAAACAAATATAATGGGGACGAGCAAACCTATTGTAAAGGCAGCTAATAGTAACGCCTAAAATTTTTAAGCACCTAGGTGCACTCACTTCACAATGATACATATTGAATGTACAATTTATATTTATGAATAGCTTAATAATACATTAAAATACTAGCAGAAACTATACAAAACACTGAACACGTTTAAAATGCAAATTCTGAATGTAGAGAATATTTGTTCAGTCAACCATGTGCACATTCATTTATTCATCCAATTATTCATTGAACTATGCAACAAATATTTACTGAGAACCTACTTTATGCCACACGCTGTATTAGGTGATAAATAACAGTTAACATGTACATAACATTTACCATAAACCAGGTACGATGCTAAGTAAGTTTGTGTATTACCTCATTTAATTCCCAAACAGTCTTAGCAAAAAAAAACTACGATTATTCCTAATCAATGGAGTTTGATTCAAGCAAGCCATTTGGAGTGTTGTGTGGCCCTGCCCTATTTGGTCCCTACTGTTCAACAATGAATAAGGATTCTTTGCATTTGTG